CCCCAATATATTATATTAGTTTCCATTTTCTTTTCCATTATCCTAATATAATCCCAACATACACCCTGTAATCCCTATGTAACCCCTGTATAACCCCCTAAAACCCCTATAGTTTCCATTGTATTTTCCATTATCCCAATATATTATAGTAGTTTCGAATCTCTGCCTTGTTGATCAACAGCAAGGTCGAAGAGCAGGCCGCATAGAGGGCGACTGCAAAAGCCACCTGCCTCAATGGCAGGTCAGCCTCTGCTGCAAGACATTTTTGGGGTTTAGGGGTTGAGGGGTCTCAGGATGCAGGGATTTCGGGTTTTAGGGTTTTAGGATCTTTTTGCTGGGGTCATGCGCGCTCTGTGCTTGCGCGCTTTGACGCCTGCTCTTTTTCTCTCTGCAGCTTTCTGGCGAGCTCCACGTACTTAAATTGTGGTCCGAAGTTGGTTTTAGGATTTAGGGTTTCAGGTTTGGAGCTTTCGGGTTTAGAATTTAGGGGTAAAGGATTTCAGGATGTAGGGATTCAGGTTTGGGGCTTTAAGATTTGAGATTTAGAGTTCAGGGGGTTAGGATTCACGCTCTAGGGGTTTAGGATGCAGGATTTAACGTTTAGAGTTTAGGGTTTAATGGTTCACAGTTTGCATGGAGGCCTCAAAAATTAGCAGCTCTTGCTTGTCCGTATCATGATCGGAATAAAGATAACGCTAATATAACCCTATATAGTATGGTAGTTTCCATTTTATTTTCCATTATCCCAATATATCAAAGGTACATACGCCGTATACCCCAGCAAACCTTCAGACCCGTCAGGAACACGCTCAAGACGTAGCCGGCGTTTCAAATAGTCCTAGCCCCACAGCACCTAACATAGTACCTAATACTAGGATCCTACACGACAACAGTTTAAACGCCTATTTCAAACTAACATGGAACCCCAAAAAGGGCCCTGTATAGACTACAGCCTGTTGAAAAGGGGGCCTGTGCGGGGATGCATGCTATTTTGGAGGGGGTCGATGCTGGCCAGAAAACTCGTAAGGAGAGCTTACCAGGAATGCAAGGGTCTATACTACAACAAGCTCCTGCGAGAGACTCACAATTTGCGGAAACCCCAAACTCTAATCCCTGAAGTTCAAACCCCGCTTTTCCCTTCGGTAGTTGCAAATGATCCCCTTCAAGTCCTTTCACACGCAACGCATCACGTGCTCGGTACCATGGAACTCTACACGTTCCCCCATATCCACCATGCCGAAATCTGGCCTGATCCACCTTTGGAGGAGGGGGGGCCGGGGCGACATTCCCCTCCTGCACCGCAGGTCTGAGGGAGGTTCTCAAAGAGTATAACCCTAAACCCTAAACCCCTAAACCCCAAACCCCTAAACCCTAAACCCTATAGGCCTGCAAGGACCCAAGGACTCAGGGTTTCTAGTGGTAGCTTCCCAAAATCTGTGTCCTTTGCTGAAGCTTACCTATGAAAAGCATCCTCATATTAATGTCCCCCCCCTAACAGTCTGTATTAGGGGTCCTTTTAAGGGCTATATATAACCAAATTATAAACATTATCCAACTGTTACTGAGGGGGGGCAGTACCCAATGTATGGTCACGCCCCGGCGGGC